GTCCGAACTATTGGCAAGTCTATTTCTATAGCAGTAATTGGGATCCCAATCTGACTGTCCACTGACGGGGTAGTCCTCTGCTCGGATACACTGCGCTTCCTCAGCTTTCTTCTGGTAACAGGGGGTAGAGAATGGAACACTATCTTGCCCCAGCTCCGTTTTGGCCATGCTCAGGCTTTAGGGCGGATGTGTGGGCTCACGGCGCATGACGCTCGATCTCTGATTTGCAGTGGGGAACTGGAGATCCTCGGCTTGATCCATCGTTTTTCCGACACGGGTGACCGCAGCAACCATTATTGGCAGGGTTTCCGGCAACACGCCCTCTGCTTATGTTTGTTGTCTCACTTTCTGCTTTCCTCGGGCTTCGGCGGGGCGAGCATTCGCCTGATTGAAGTCGCCCAAGGTTTGAGAGAAGGAAAGAGCTGTATTGCCATGACCTTGGCCGAGACATTGATGGGCTGATTCTGTCTATCGCCGGGAGGCGACTAGGTTTGCTGGGAGTCCACTACTACTGCAGGTAATGTTTCCCACCCAACCTTGCATATATATTTGCTCACATCACTCGACTCTCAGCTCGGTTTTTCTCACAAAAACCTTGTCTTACTTTTCTCTCATCGTACATCTCTCTGTTCTTTATTCTCTCATTTTTCATCTCTCCCCTAGGTATGGTTAATGGATATTTTCCGTCCCTCCCCTAGGTATGGTTAATGGACAAGTTGCAGGTGGTGGACTCTTGCCCAGTTTATTCAGCTCGAGGCTACTTCTTTCGGCAGCGTCTAGTCAATGCTCTTGACGAAAGGTGGTGGTTCGATTGGATGTGCAATTTGTCCGCAGAAGGCATTGCTTGGCGTTGTCCTTGGCTCAACCTCCCGGCAATGAGCTATAGTATGTCCCGGCTGATTGGGACCCAATTGATCGGTCTAACCCACTGCGTATTCTATTTTCCGTTCCGGTTCCTGCGTCAGTTTGGTCATGATCAGACCTGCCCACACGAGGGGATTGAGTACCCAGCCGCTTTTCCGATCCGGGGAGCACAGCTTGCCCGATATGCCACAGCATGGAGGACTAGAGAGCTCCTGGCCCCTGCTCCTACTTTCAATTGCACTTTGTCCGATGAATGCGTGGATTGGCTCAATGAGGAGGCACAAGTTGGGCCCAGCTTGGCATCAGATGCTTCGTCCAGCTCTGGGAGGGGACACAGAGATACTTGATTCAACTATGCCCCAAATTTATTGCTCATTTAGCATTTTCAAGTTTTCTTTATGAATGTACTAAAAAAATAGCAACCTCGATTGTAATGCAAGAGCAGGAGAACTCTATTTTGAAATCAATGAAATTGAAAATTATGGTACTGAAAATTTTCCGTTTTTGCTCCAAAAATGGTCTTAGTCGTAAAAAGATTGATTTGAACAAAGTCAACTTTCATTAAAACTTTTCAAAACTATTTTCGATGCGGATCAGAATTGGACACACCGGAAA